AAAATATAATTATTATTTTTTAAAAAAATACTCTTATTGATAATAATTTTATATTTATTATAGATGTTTAATAAAAATAAATATAAAAAGATAGAGTTACTTTAAAAATAAATAATTATTTTATTAAGATGAAATTCAGTTATAATGATAGGAATAGTTGAGAACATGAATTAATTTGTAAAGATAAATCCGAATAACTTGATATAAGGATTGAGTTAGGTTGAAAAATTAAATTAAATAAAAAATAAATTTTTTTCTGACTTGAAAAGAATAACCCGTAAGCCTAATAAATAGTTTTAATGAATTAAGATTGACCTATTTAACCCCTATTATTTATAAAAATATTCAAAAAAATTGAAGAATAAAAAATGAAGGGAGTTTTGACGCACAAACCCACAAATACAAGAGAATATGGAATAGATCATGAAAATGTTGATTATCATTTTGGTGTAGTTTTTTTAAAAAGTCATGTAAAAAAAATTAAAGAGTTAATTGTGGATCAATTTTTTCTATCAATACACAAATAAACTATATGGCAACTCAAGCAAATATTCTTGGTATTATTTATAGTGTTAGTTGAAAAATTATGAGAGTCGGTGATAAATAACACAAGCCAATCATTTATATTTTTTTCTATCAATATATAAATAATTCATTTAAAAAATCAATTACATATAATTAGGATTATTTGTAGTGTCAGTTAAAAATTTACTAAAGAGTTAATTGTAAATTACAACCTAATGATTTATAATTTTTAATATCGTTTGAAGAATTAACAATAGATCATTAAAAAATTGTGTAACGTTAGTTGAAAAATTATTAAAATTTGTTGTGAAACTCAAACCAATTAATAAAAAGGACATTGACCTGTGATTGAAATTTTAATAATTTAAAATATAAAATTGTTATTAATATTTTGATGGGCCTCTTATTGTCATTTTCCCCTAATAACCAAAATTTGAATTTGGAAGGAGTATTGAATTTCAAAATATCCCACACGCGCAAAGCGAAGAAATTTGAATAACCAAATGGCCGACTTGTTCAACTTGCCCTTTATCAGTAACATTAAATGTCAAATATTAATTATTAATTGGGTGTGACCTGAACATTGTGCTGAAAATAGAAAAGTGTAAATGTGTCCTTCTTTGTTGGTATTAATTAATTTCATCTCTATTATTTAATGTTTCGAGTCTCTGAAGGGGTCTTTCAAAATACTACATTCATTTATAGTTTTTATCAGTATCGTCATAAATAATTAGTAATAAAAATATTAGTTGTTGGCAAGCACCGAATCAATATTTGGTAGGAAAGAGGGCCTCTCCACTTTTTTTTGTTCTCTCATTTTCCCTTCATTTCTCAATCATCATCATTCATTTTATTTTATTAAATAAATATATTTTAATTATAAATTTAATCCATGGTGTTGTTTGAGAAATGAAAAAAATGGAGGGAAAAAAAAGTAAAGATCCTCTTCCATGTTCGGTAAGATCGTAATTTTGAATCCCACCATTGATATAAACTATAAAACTTTTCTTAGAAATAGTTTATATGTTTTTTTATATAGATATTTAATTTATGACTTTGACTAACTTGCTATTCTAATAAATGTTGAGTCTTTTTGAAATTTTTAAAATTTTTGTGATTATAATTGAATTGAATGGTATTTAAGATATTTAGAGAAGTCTCTTATTCAATTTCTTTATTGTTAGGCCCAAGCAAGTGGCAGTATCATTTATATTGACTGAGCCATCAATGTTCTCATCTTTAAGACAATGATTGATTTTTCTTAATTGAAGGTTGATATTATTAATAATATCTTGTGTGCGTGTGAAAACGATATCGATATTAATGGTGACTTCATTAGAATAGATACTTTTGCATCTAGTTTTTTATACGTCCATGTATGCAAAAAATTTCTACCACGGAATTCTTGTACGCTAACTTTTAGTATCATTCTTCATAACTATTTCATTTTAAATTGTAAAATATTTTTAAATAAAATTTTATATACTAATAAACTTTATTATATACACTTACGTTATATATGAATGGGTGGATTTAAGTTAAGAATTTAAATTTCAAGTCTCATATTTAAAATTTCACATTTAAAATTCATAAATTTTAAATTCTTTATTTGAATAATATAAAAAATTTTAAATTACAATATTAAAATTCTTTGTTTGGATTTAAAATAAAATTTCAAATTTTAAATTCTATATTTAAATTTAAAAAAACTTAGAAGATTAATCAAACTCAACAATTTGAATGGCCAGCTTCCAATAGGATTAAACAAACAAAGCTGACTAGGATGGTAGCACTGGTGACGATTGGGACGGGACCTTCAACTTCCATCAAGACCAGACAGTTGCAACGATGGGGATGGAACGGCTGACTTCCATTGGGACTCAATTGGCACTAGACGACCAACTTCCATTGAGACCGAATCATCGGTGATGACAGGCACAGAATGGCTGACTTCTACCAAGATTGGATTGACGGCGACTACGTGCACTAGACGGCCAACTTCGACCGTGACTGGACCAACACTGATGATGGAAACAACATGGTTGACTTTCACTAGGATCGGACTGATGGCGACAATTGAGATCGAATAGCCAAGTTCCACCAGCATCAGACCGGACCAACAGCTTCGACAACTAGATTAAAGGGATGGCAACAGAAGGCAATCGTCCAGTCCTCGCCCGATAAAAGTTAGACTTTCAGTCCACATCATCGTTATAGGTTCAGTCTTAGTGAAAGTCAGCCATTCGGTTCTTATCATCGTGATCAGTTCGGTGCTAGTTGAAGTAGGCGACCTGGTCCCCATCATTATCTCAGTCCGATCCTGGTGAAAGTTGACCGTCCAATTCCCATCGTCATCAGTCCGGTCCCAAAAGAAGTTAGCCTTTCGATCCCCGTCATCACCATAGGTCCTGTCCTAGTAGAAGTTGGTCGTCTAATCCATGTTGTCATCATTGGTGCGATACCGGTAGAAGTTGGCCACCCAGTCCTGTCGTTAGCGTCGGTTTGATTCCAATGCAAGTCAATCGTGCTGTCCCTATCATCCCCATTATTTTCGTCGGTCTGGTCTCGATAGAAGTCGACCATCCGATCTCTATCATCGTCATCAGTCTAATCCTATTGACAGTTGGCTGTCCGATCCTAGTCATCGTTGTCGATCCAATCTACTTAGAAGTCAGCCGTTCGGTCCCCATTGTCGTCGTTGGTTTGGTCCTGTTGGAAGTCGGCAGTCTGATCCCCGTCGTCGCCATCGTTTTAGTCCTAGTGGAAGCTAACCATTCCTTCCCAATCATCATCATCAATCTGATCCCGATGGAAGTCGGCTATCTTGTCTTGATCAACGGTGGCAGCTTGTTTCCGTCAACTTTGGTGGTTCGGTCCAATTATCGTTGGCAGGTTAATCAAGCCTTCATGTATTTTGGTCAAATTACAAAAGAGCTTGAGTTAGGATTTGAAATAACAAAGGTTTAGAAATAATTTTAAATTTCAAATAGATTAAGGGAGAACTTGAATTTGGATTTGGATTAAATCCAAATCCATACATTTTAAATTATCCAAATAATAAATTTGACTCAAATTTAAATTCAAATCTAAATTCATATATATCCAAACATAGTATTAACAATTTTTATCTTTTTAAAACAAATATATAAACTTTTAAAAATGCTCTTCATTTAATATATTAAAAAGAAAAGGGATGTAAACTAATTATAAAAAGAAAAATAATAATATTAGAATAAGTTTATTCAATCAAATCTTAATCATCTCAAAGTTTTTCTTACTTTAAAATACTAAATCTCTCTCAAAAGTATTTTATAATTTAAGATGGAGTGGGTATTAAATTTGGAGTACTTGGCTACTTTCATCCAAACATCCTGAATTTTCTTACAATTGCATAAAACATGAAAGGAAGAGTCCAAATCCAGAGAATTACGACAAAAACGGCAAGTCCTTGACTAATTTACCACCATTTTAGTAATTGGTTTTGATGCCCATTATGATCATGATACCATCTCTACTCATGAGATCCGGATTATTAAGATTTAAAATTTTTTTAAATTTTTTAATAAATCTATTTATCACTAATTTGGACAAGACATATTTAATTTACATAGTTTAATTTAATATTACAATTTTTATATTTTTCTATAAAATTGACTATCTAAATATATTTTGAATAGTTCCTATTTAATATTATTTTTTTAATTTTAAATATTTTTATTTTGATAAATACAGTATTGAAAACAAAGATAATATCTTAATGGGCACTTTCTAAAATTTACATTTTTAAAAAATTATTAAAATTTCAAAATTTTAAATTTGAATTATTCAAAGTAAATTTAGATAGTTAATTTATAAAAATTATAAAAAATTAATATTAAATTTAGACTATTTAAATTAAATCTGAATGGTGCATATTAATAACGAATGGGGACAAAGAAAATTTATTAAAAAAGTTATAATTCTTATAAATAAATAAATATAAAATAAAAATAAAAAGTTTTAAATTTGTACTGTCAAAATAAATCTAAAGAGTGATTAAAACTATGGTACCGACTCCCTGAGCTCCGAAATTGAACTCACAATTTTATACTTTCTCAACATAAAGAGGAAGATTCACTTGGGCCTTTTTATGTACAAAAACGTTTGATTTCATTTCACAAGATATCTGGGTTTAGCAAAAAGCCTAAAACTGTAATACACATCCCTCATAATCCATACATCCTCCAACTATAGAAAGTTATACAAGTGACGAAAACGAACCAAGAGAAGAGGCTTTAATAGTTCAAATCCTGATATTATCCTCCTACTTTTGAGTTCCATTTATACACCAAATTTGCATATACAGCAAAACAATGAAATAAAAGCAGATTCACTTGTGCAAGAGATTCATGGGATGGGATAAAGGTTAGATTCCATTTCTATTACACTTATTCTTCTCAAATGAAGTAAATTTCAGAGAATCTTATTGCTCTGTATTAAATCCCTGAACTTCTAAGACTATTGAAGATCGATAAAATAATCATCGATTGAAATGCTCGATGCTTCTCCTTGTGTGTACCCATCACTGATGCCCTCCCATATACCGCCGGTACCTGCGCCGGCGTTGTCGTCGTCGTTCTAGTCCACCAGAACTCGTCATTCATCTCTCTGTTTTCTCTCTGCTCATTATCTGTCCTCTCAATCTTCCCTTCTGCTTCAACAATCCTCTGCGCATCGACGGCCATGCCGGCATTCGACGCCGCCGCCTGCACCGACCTCGGCGACATCTCCCTCTGCTGCCAGATATAACAGGGAGGCAGCATCTCCGGGAGGTTGAGCTTCTCCAACGACGCCGGTCTCCTCAGACAGTAGTAAGCCACGTCACGAGCCACCGCTGCCGCCTCCGGCGAGGCAAACGTGCCCAGCCACAGACGCTCCTGCGACCCCGGGACTCGAATCTCCGACACCCACTTGCCCCATTTCCGTCGCCGGACTCCCTTGTACTCAAATCTCCAACAATCTTTATTTTCTTCTGCTTTCAATGTTCAGGCGGCCCGATTTCACATTGATCCCACGATTATGACTGAAACACAATTAAAATTAATTATTAGATCTCCTAGTCACGCATCAAATTAATTTATTTAATTATTATAATTAAATTTGATTAATTTAAGGATTAAAATTGAAATGTTACAATTATAATAAAAAAAATACAAACAAAAATTTGGTAGAAACATTTTAATTGCATGATATATTGAACAAAATTTTTGGAGGAAGAGTGTAAAATTAAATTAAAACAAGGAGAAGTAACTTATTATTATAAGTTACTTTGTCTGATCATTATTATAAAGCATGTTAACCGGAATGAAGAAATGAAACTTAACTCATTAAATATGTTTTAAAATATATTTTTTAAAATTTACCCTTATTAAAAATAGAGAGAGAGAAGTACAAAGTATACAATTAGCCATAAAATTAAATTTATAACTAATAATAAATAACTCTCCATGTATCTTATATTGAGAATCAAAGAATTATTTTAGAAGGTGCCTGAAAATAGAGAACAGAGGGAATACTTAGCATATAAAAATATACTTTTTTTATCTTAAATTATAAAACATTTTTGGGAGATTCGACATTCCGTAGATACTTTGAAAAAAATAAAATTTTATTAATATTTTTTTTAATATTACCTTTTTCATATATTTTTTCTCTTTAATATTCTTTTGCAAATAAAGTGTTAAATGAAAGATTGTCTTAAAAACATAAGATTGTAAAGTATATTTAATAAATTTTATTAGTATATGTAATTTTGTTTAAAAATATCATATAATTTAAAATAGACCGAATATTATTCATTATTTTATTTCTGTTTTATCCTCTAAACATTTTCTATGAACATAATAAGAGAACAATAGATTTTATTTTTTTAAGACAATATCAATAATTTAATTATCTCTTGGTGAATTAAATAAGATAATTAGAAGTAGTTTATAATATAAATATGGGAAGAGTATTTGTGTTTTTGTAATATTAACACGAGGTCAAAATAATGAGGGTTTAATGGACGGTGGTCCCCAGGGCAGGGGTGTCTGAACTGTAGAACTTGATGAGGGGGAACCAGTTGGCTTAAATTAATGGAGTGTGTGAGATTATTCGATTTGATGGTTGACCGCCTCCAAATGGTTGACCCCTTTGAGGCTGTTCAGTGCTAAACGTGTCTAAATTGGGATCACACTCATTTGAATGATTTGATATGAACAACACCATCACCACAATTGTTTCGGAATGTCGGGGGATAACTTGGTCTCACAAGGCCCGCGTGCGTTGTACACACGCCTTAAACCAACACTGCATGCCTTCGTGTATATATATACTTCCTTTATTTAAAAATATAAAATATTTTTTAAAAAATTAAATATTTAAAAATATAAAATATTTTTAATCTTTTAAAGTATAATTATTATTTTTTAAAAAAATACTCTTATTGATAATAATTTTATATTTATTGTAGAATGTTTAATAAATATAAATATAAAAAGATAGGGTTACTTTAAAAATAGACAACTACTTTATTGAAGATGAAATTCAGTTATAATGATAGGAACAGTTGAGAATATGGATAAATTTGTAAAGATAAATCCGAATAACTTGATATAAGGATTGAGTTAGGCTGAAAAAATTAAATTAAATAAAAAATAAATCTTTTTCTGACTTGGAAAGAATAACCCGTAAGCCTAATAAATAATTTTAATGAATTAAGGTTAAACTGTTTAATCTCTATTTTTATAAAAAAATTTAAAAAAATTGAAGAATAAAAAATGAAGGGAGTTTTGAAACCACAAAACCGGAAAATACAAGAGAATTTGGAATAAATCATGAAAAAATTGATTAATATCATATATTTATCTTGTGAATCTTTTTATAGTTATATAAAATGTCATTATGAAACTAATTATCATTTAGGTGTAGTTTTTTAAAAATTCATGTAAAAAAAATTAAATGAGCTAGTAGGTTGATTCGTTTAACTTATCACCTAACGGGAAAGTTGAAATGATTATAATATAATAATTAAATATGTAAATTTAAAGTTATATTAAGTGAAGAGTATTTTTAAAAGTTTATAGAATATATTTTTTTTGCAAAGGTAAGCTTCTAAATTGTTATTATTGATATGTGTAATTCTTATATTAAATTGTCTTATAATTTTGGATAAAGAAAGCACAATCCAATAAACAATCTTCATGCTTTAAATGGCATAGAGACTTCAAATAAAGTTTTACTTAAAAAGTAGTTTTTTGTAAGACTATGTTTTGTTTTGACATAGTAGGATTTTGATTATTACCAATCACCAATTATAGGAAAGGGTCCAAATTACAAGTTCGCTGAAAATTTTCTGGGATTAAAGTTTTGTTTTCTCATAATTCTGTTTTGATAATTAATTTTAAATTTTGTCTAAAATTAGAAATTGAATTCATCAGTCACCCTAAAAAAATTCATTTTGCTACTTCTCTAATACATTTTTAAAATTAAATAAGCTTTTAAGGTCATTAGTGAAAATTAATTGGTTTATTAGGAAGAAAAATGTTTTTATTGTGTAAATTTCGATAAAAGAGATACATAATTCACGATTTACCGCCACCCTCAAGTTTTGTTTACTTAAAAAGAAAAAATAAAAAAATAAGCCACTTTTATTTCCAAAAAAAAAAAATCTTTGGTCAAAATCTATATATAGGGAGTAAAGTTTGATGGGTTTTACTGTTCATCAACAATTTTTTTAACAGTAAAACCCCATCAATTTTTTTTATAAATTTATTTTTTTATTTTTATATAAATAGAAAAATATTTGAGAAAATTATAACAATGTGGGCACATGATTACAAAGATAGTAATGGGACTCATGATTAAAAAAATAGGATTAAAATTAAAAGTAAAAAATAAATAATGAATATGAGAGTTGTCATAAAAAAGTACAAATATTTCGTGATAAAATAAATAATAATTTTATCTTTAATTTATACGTGGACAAAACTATTTTTAATGTAGAATAAATTATTATTTAAATTTTAATTTATTTTTAAATTTATATATTTTATTTTATTTTTTATCTTTTAATATTAAACTATTCCGTACATAAAACTAATTTATTAATGAATTAGATGTAAATATAGAAATAGAAACCCATGATCGGTTGGCATTGATTTTCGTGAATAGAGTTATGTCAGCTGAAACTTGAAATTTTGACGTGAATTTATATAAGTGCAGAAAATATTTTTAAAAAAATATTCTTAGTTAAATTGATAATGTCAAGCTTAGGTCATCATCATTGTATTAAAGAAACAGAAAGGCGTGGAATGGGCCAAAAACCGAGCGCGTGAAGAAAGATGCTAATGATTAACATCGCTGTGGTCTACTAAGATCAAAATTGAAATATAGAAGTATAGAATTTAATCAATCATCAACTATCTTCTACAAATCTCATAGAATCAATTTGATTGGCCAAAATTCCTTCATTTTGATTGGTTACTAGACTTTGATCTTATATGTCTCTTGGCCTAATTTAGTCTATAATTAAGTGTCTAAACACATAGTTAAGTCCAAACAACTTCAAATGCGAATTTGTTCTCTAATTTAAACCTTAAAATAGTATTAATCTGCATTATAATTTCTTCATTAAAACCTCAATTTACCCCCAATTGGTTCCTTATTTAAAAATCATGATATTGCAGTTTTTATTTGCAATTAAAATAATTTTCATTATTAAATAACCAATAAAAGATTACTCATAAATTTAAAAAAAGTCAGTTGTGAATTTAAAAAAACTCATTAGTAAATACTCTGATATCTATATAAAAAATTAATTGTGAATGGATGGATAATTTTATGAATATATACATCATTATTTGTAAATTTAAGGATAACTGCTTATAAATTTTTGAAAAGTTTTTTGTAAATTTATTGAAATTCAAAAACACAAGAGGCTCCTTAAATCATTAATTTATAATTAAGACTAGCCATGTTCATTTACAATTGATGTTTCATATATTTATAAGTGATTTTATTTTTTAAATTTATAACTAATTGTCTCTGAATTATAAGTGATGCATAAATTTATAATATTATATATTTATTTATAATAATTTTCATAAATTCACCATTGACTTTTCTAAAAAATTAAAAGTGACTATGTTTAAATTTATAAGTGACAATATATAAATTCATAAAACTATCTATTTATTTAAAATTAAATTTTTATTGATTTACAAGTAACATGAATTAATTTTACAACTAACTTTATTTAAATTCATAAGTAACATTTCAATAGTAATTTTAATAAGTATTTATTTTTAAATTATAAATAACGACCATAGTCCTTCCTTGACATTTCAATTATTTGAGATCTTCACTTCCTTGACATTTCAATTATTTGAGATCTTCAATTATCATTAATATTTTTGCAAGGTTTGTGATCATCATTTTCCCAAAGTATTTATGGATTAAGTTTATTTTAGCTCAATCAAGCCCATATAAAGTTAAGCCAATCCATTTATTATCTCTATAAACTCATGCTCCATCTAGACATTAATATAAGACAAGTATTAGAAGTTTTTTTCTTCAGTATTTAATATACAATAAAGTTAAAGTAATTATTTTTATTTTCCAATCCTATCTCCAGTTTATTTATTACTCCCTCTAGTTTTATTTATAGAGCAGAATGAAAAATTTTTTTTTGATCTTATTTAGAAGTCACTTAATTAAATTTTAATTGTAAATTTCCTTTTTTGCTCTCCCTTAAATATTGGAGAGAGAAAATATATCATTGAAGTGTACATATTTAATAGGGCAAAGTCAATAAGTTATTAAATTTTAAGATATAGTTAATAAGTTTTAGGATTTTTTTTAGTACTGGTAAAATATGGTAGAAGTGATATATAAATAAGATCAAAGAAATATGATATGAATTTCTACATAATAATTTATTATGGTTATTAATTGTAAAAAATGATAAAATTGAAATGTTACATACTTTTTAAATAAATTTTAAAATATAATTATTACTCTCTCCAGATCATAATATAAGTTGCTTCTTAAAAGCATACTTTGATTTAACATATAAGGCATTGAATAAATTTTATGTTTTTTTCATTGATACCTTTACTTTTTTATTCTTAGTCTTTAAATGCTTCATATTTAAGGATCACACATATGTTATTAGGAACTCTTAAAAGGACATGAATGAAAAAATATTGACATTTTTAAGAAATTAAAGTTTTAACTAATATTTTTTTATAAATTATAAATTAGTTAACGATAAAATATATTATGATTTAGAGGTAGTATGTTTTTAATAAGTGAAACATTTATTAATTTTGTCTTGTATACAAGAATAAGAGGAGTACAAGTTTTGAGGTTACCTTTTTATGAACAGAGAATATCACTTGCTAGAATTATATCGAGAATAAAGAGTAGGCCCTCCTAGTTAGACTTGTTTCACATATAAAAGTTGAAAATGAATGTTCTGTCCCTTCCTATAATAGGTCAAGAGCTTTATTTGATCTAATTGAAAAAAATGAGAATTAGAGATTTCACAAGAATATTAATGATAATTATAAATTATAAATTATTAAAGTTTTAATAACAAACGGTAGCCCTTATTTATAATTAAAAAATATGAATAATTAATTTAAAAAAAATTTACTAAATACATTTGAGATATATACATTTTACGAGATTCAATTGTGGATCAATTTTTTCTATCAATATACAAATAAACTATATGGGAATTCAAGCAAACATACTTGGTATTATTTATAGTATTAGTTGAAAAATTATGAGAGTTAGTGATAAATAATACAAGCCAATTGTTTATATTTTTTTATCAATATATAAATAAATCATTTAAAAAATATATTAAATATAATTAGAATTATTTGTAATGTTAGTTAAAAATTTACTAAAGAGTTAATTATAAATTACAACTCAATTACTTATAATTTTTTAGTATCGTTTGAAAAATCAATAATAGATAATTAATAATCTTTATAACATTAGTTGAAAAATTATTAAAATTTGTTGTGAATCTCAAACTAATTAGACATTGATCTGTGATTGAAATTTTAATAATCTAAAGTATGTAATTGTCATTAATATTTTGATGGATCTCTTAATGTCATTTTCTCCTAATAACCAAAATTTGAATTTGGAAGGAGTATTGAATTTCAAAATATCCCACACGTGCAAAGCGAAGAAATTTGAATAACCAAATGGCCGACTTGTTCAACCTGCCCTTTATCAGTAACATTGAATGTCAAATATTAATTATTAATTGGGTGTGACCTGAACATTGTGCTGAAAATAAAAAGTGTAAATTCGTCTTTCTTTGTTGGTATTAATTAAATTCATCTCTATTATTTAATGTTTCGAGTCTCTAAAGGGGTCTTTCAAAATACTACATTCATTTATAATTTTTATCAGTATCGTCATAAATCATTAGTAATAAAAATATTAGTTGTTGGCAAGCACCGATTCAATATTTGGTAGGGAAGTGAGCCTTTCCACTTTTTTCTTTCCTTTTCTCTTCATTTCTCAATCATCATCATTCATTTTATTTTATTAAATAAATTTATTTTAATCATAAATTTAATTCATGGTAATATTTGAGAAATGAAAAAGATGGAGGAACAAAAAGTAGAGACCCTCTTCAATGTTTGGTAAGATCGTAATTTTGAATCCTACCATTAATATAAACTATAAAACTTTTTCTTAGAAATAGTTTATATGTTTTTTACATAGATATTTAGTTTATGACTTTGACTAACTTGCTATTCTAATAAATGTTGAGTCGTTTTAAAATTTTTAATTTTTTGTTTCTACAATTAAATTGAATGGTATTTAAGATATTTTGAGAAGTCTCTTATTCAATTTCCTTATTGTTAGACCCAAGCAAGTGGCAATATCGTTTATGTTGACTGACCCATCAATGTTCTCATCTTTAAGACAATGGTTGATTTTTTTTTTTTTTTATTAAAGGTTGATATTTTAATAATATCTTGTGTACGTGTGAAAGAGATATCTCTATTAATGATGGCTTCATTAAAATAGGTACTTTTGCATCTACCTTTTTATATGTCCATGTATGCAAAAAATTTCTGCCACGGAATTCTTGCACACTAACTTTTAGTATCGTTCTTTATACTCATTTCATTTTAAATTTTAAGATATTTTTAAATAAAATTTTATATGCTAATAAATTTTATTAGATACACTTAACAATTTTTATCTTTTTTAAAAAAATATATAAATTTTTAAAAATATTCATCATTTAATATATTAAAAAGAGAAGAGATGTAAACTAATCATAAAAAGAGAAATAATAATATTAAAATAAGTTTATTTAATTAAACTTTAATCATCTCAAAATGTCTTATATTTTAAAATATTAAATTTTTTTTAAAAGTGTTTTATAATTTAAGATGGAAGGAGAATTAAATTTGGAGTGCTTGGCTACTTTCATCCAAACATCCAGAATTTTCATTCAATTGCACAGAATATGAATGGAAGAGTCCAAATCCAGAGAATTACAACAAAAACGGCAATTGCTTTGACAAGTCCTTGACTAATTTACCACCATTTTAGCAATTGCTTTCGATGCCCATTATGATTATGATACTCATCTCTACTCATGAGATCCGGATAATGAAGATTTAGAAATTTTATTTTATATTTATTAAAATGAAAAGTTAAAATTTTTTCAAATTTTTTAATAAATCTATTTATCACTAATTTGGAGTATACATATTTAATTTAGATAGTCTAATTTATTATTAAAAATTTTATATTGTTTTATAAAATTAACTATCCAAATATATTTTAGATAGTCCATATTTAATATTAATTTTTTTTAAATTTTTAAATATTTTTATTTTGATAAATACAGTATTAAAAATAAAGATAATATGCTAATGGGCACTTTCTAAAAAATATATTTTTTAAAAAAAATTAAAATTTTAAATTTTAAATTTGAACCGTTCAAAGTAAATTTAGATAGTTAATTTATAAAAATTATAAAAAAATTTAATATGAAATTTAGACTATTTAAATTAAATCTAAACCATGAATAATCATGAATGGTGAAAAGAAAATTTATTAAAAAAAGGTTATAATTCTTATAAATTTTTATTTAAATAAATATAAAAATTTTAAATTTGTACTGTCAAAATAAATCTAAAGAGTGATTAAAACTATGGTACCCAATCCCTGGTGAGCACCGAAATTGAACTCACAATTATATACTTTCTCAACATAAAGAGGAAGATTCACTTGGGCCTTTTTATGTGTACAAAAAGCCTAAAACTGTAATACACATCCTTCATAATCCATACATCCTCCAACTATAAAAAGTGATACAAGTGTCTAAAACAAACCAAGAGAAGAGGCTTTAACAGGTCAAATCCTGATATTATTCTCCTACTTCTGAGTTCCATTTATACACCAAATTTGTATATACAGCAAAACAATGAAATAAAAGCAGATTCACTTGTGCAAGAGATTCATGGGATGGCATAAAGGTTAGCTTCCATTTCTATTACACTCACGTTCTTCTCAAATGAAGTAAATTTCGGAGAATCTTATTGCTCTGTAATAAATCCCTGAACTTCTAAGACTATTGAAGATCGATAAAATAATCATCAATTGAAATGCTCGATGCTTCTCCTTGTGTGTACCCATCACTGATGCCTTCCCATATACCGCCGGAGCCGGCACGGGCGTTGCCGTCGTCGTCCCAGTCCCACCAGAACTCGTCATTCATCTCTCTGTTTTCTCTCTGCTCATTATCAGTCCTCTCAATCTTCCCTTCTGCTTCAACAATCCTCTGCGCATCGACGGCCATGCCGGCATTTGACGCCGCCGCCTGCACCGACCTCGGCGACATCTCCCTCTGCTGCCAGACATAACAGGGAGGCAGCATCTCCGGGAGGTTGAGCTTCTCCAACGACGCCGGTCTCCTCAGACAGTAGTAAGCCACGTCACGAGCCACCGCTGCCGCCTCCGGCGAGGCAAACGTGCCCAGCCACAGACGCTCCTGCGACCCCGGGACTCGAATCTCCGACACCCACTTGCCCCATTTCCGTCGCCGGACTCCCTTGTACTTGACGGCACCGTCCCTGCTATTGCTGCTGCTTCCATTGTTGTCGCCGGAGCTGCAACTCATGAAACCAGAAATGGATGTGTGTATGGGTTGTGAGTGAGCTGTGAAGGGTAAGGTTGTGAATGCTTGTGAGGAGAAGCAGATCAGAAGATATTTATAAAGGTTGAAGACGATGATGAGGCAAGAGGGCGGTGGGGTGTTAAAGGTGGACCATGAAATACAAAGTCAAAATATTCAAAGGTCAAAGCAAAAAGCCAAATGCTTTAGCCAACAACAAAACTGATATTTTTGGTTTTGTAGTTCTGATCCGCACTCCACGTCTCTACCTTATTTAGTTATTTTCTTTTTTTTTTTGGGCCAAATATTTAGTTATTTTCTTGATTAATCTCATTTTATCTTATATACTATCTCTATTTAAAAATATAAGATATTTTTTCAAAAATTAAATATTTAAAAATATAGAACATTTTTAGTTTTTGAGGTGCAATTATTGTCTTTTTTTTAAGAGTATCCTTATTAATGTTGATTTTATATTTATTGTAGAGTATTTAATAAAAATAAATATAAAAAAATATAATTAATTTAAAAGTAAGTAACTATTTTATTGAAGGTGAAATTTAATTAAAAATATTTTATATTTTTAAATGGAGTGAGTATTATCATGTGTTTTGAACTATAAAGAAGGAAGTATGTAAAATAAACAACAGACGTTGGTCCTAAATGAATGAGCTATGATCATTTAAATATAAAGTCTTAAATCCCGAAGTGAATGCAAAACAATGTCTTTGGAGCTACATCTAATTAAACCTAACAATTTGATTTTGTCATATAGCCATATTCAAAAAGAAGAGAGAATTTCATATTAGTAACATGGATGTAATTTAATTGAAAATCAAGACTAAATAAATTAGGAGATACACTATAAACTGTTGAGACTGAAATGAAAATAATTATGGAAAACATATGACTAAAGTGTTTTTAATAGAAACGAAGAAAGAGAATGTGAATTACTACTTAACATTATTTGTAAAATCCCTTATACTATTTGCCAAATACGTAACAGTTACTTGTGAATTGATCAAACTCTAATTGAATCCATGACTTGTTAAATCGTTATCTTAGCCTATACTTGTAAAAATTATTATATTATTTGTTAACTCCCTTCCATTACTTAATATGTCTATTATGTTACTTGTTAATTCCTTTATATTACTTATTAAATTTCTTTTTTATTTTTCTTACTTGTTACATTATTCTCCGGAGTTGTTGTCTCAAGTTGTTTTAGTCATCTAGATTGTTCAAACTTTTACCCTTTTGTTTGGATTGATAAAAAAAATAAAGAAAAAAGAAAATTAAGAGGAAAAAAAAGTTCAAATCCAAATTTTATCTTAATTCTTTTATAACTTAAAATCAGTTATTTCAAATTTCAATATGCATCCTCAAAACATACCTAATAGTAATAATTTTTGTTATTTAAATTATCCAAATAAAAAGCTTACATACATGTGTTTGAAATGTGAATCTAAATTTACCAATTCAAATACGAGCTTATATTTATGTTTTTAAAATGAGTTGAAAATAAAGAGAGTTGAATGGTCGGTGGTTTCCAACTTGTACTTGAAGGCTGATTGAAGTGCAAGTGGAAGTGGCTAAGAGGAGCGGGTCAAATGTGAGTGCGACAGAGATAATTGCCAAGTGGCTCTGTGCTGTGAATGCCTGGCTCTTAATTATCAAAGGTCTCCCAATTGGATTTGAATTCGTCTCTGAATCACTGTCTCATATGCCGAGCTCATAATTGTTGAATTTAATCCAACCGGCCATTAAAAGAAGGGGAGAGAGAGAGAGAGAGACGAAAAGTGTTGTAATTATAATGATTGTTTTAAATTTTAAATTAAGGGTTTATTAGTTTGAGCTTTTTACTCTTGGTTATATGAATATTGTTTGTCTCTTTACTTTTTTTAACAAAAATTTCAGATTAATTTATTTGAATTCTGTAATACACACACACGGCATATTAATTATTAAATTTTATTTTCAAATTATTTGGTTAAAGTCTTTGTAATTACTCATAGGTATTTTTTTTATAATTTTTTTGAGGCATCGCCGGACACTTGTTTATATGGGAGATTTGAACTTTAGTTCATTATATTGTGAGGGGCTAGCCTCTTTTATTAAATTCAATTCCTATTCGCATTTTGTTAAAGTCTTTACCCCTAATGTTAACTTGAAATGATATAAATTATTACTCTCTCCGTTAAAAAATATAAGGTATTTTTAATCGACCTTAATAAAGTAATTACCTACATTTAATCCTATATTTTTATATTTATCCCTATTAAACACCCTATAATAAATATAAAGTCATTATCAATAGGGGCACTTTTGAAAAAAAGGCAATGATTACACCTTAAAAAACTAAAAATACCTTATATTTTTAAACGGAGGAAGTATATTTTATTTCTTTTGATGCTATATGTAAAATTATTATAAATTTTTTTCCAGAAAGAATTTATGCTCCTTTTTACACGTCACTTTGTATGAAAAAAGGTGGATTATTAATTACCCTTTTTTTTTTACAGTTTTATCCTGTTACAATTTTCAATAAATAGGAAAAAAATTATAGAACAGAAAAGGTGTTTTTAAATTTGATATATTTAACAAAGGTAAATTAAAAATTTTCTTTCTTTTTCTAATAATATCAATAATTTAGCTATTTTTTCTTAATTTAGTAAGATAGTTAAAAGTAAATTATAGAGTAAATAGAACAAGAGAAAATATTAACGAAGGATAAAATATTAAGAAAATTAGTTAATACTTTTTTAAAAATTGTAAAGCAACAAATATCTTGAGAGAAATTATAAAAACGTTATTAATACTCAAATTTAACCCAATGAAACAATACTCCAAACAAGGAGTACCTAATTTCAAGTGCATCCCACTTGTGAAAAAGCAAAGAAATTATGAAGAAGAAAATGGCCGACAACTAACAACTTGGCCCTTCCCTTAACATTACATGTCAAAAGTGAAGTATTAATTGGGTGTGAAAATGACCAAAAAAAGAAAATTGGGTGTGAATTGAACATTGGACGGCAACTAAAAAGTGAAAATTTGTCGTTTTACGTTGTTATGAGTACAGTAATATAATTCCATCTCCATTTAATGTTTGAGGCTTTGAAGGAGTCTTTCCAAAAATATCCATGTATGGCTTTTATGAGCATGTGGTACATAATTGAAATATAGTTGTTGCCTTGTTTATGGCAAGGACCGATTCAACATTCTGTAGGGTCCTCACTTTAAGTCCCACCACAAGTCCCACCACCATGGATGTGAAGTGAAAGTTTTATGAGAAAATATTAATTTATAAAATACTCATTTTTTTATTTATAAAAAAATTGCATTACATAATTTAAAAAAATTGATTAACTATATTAATTGTATCTGAAAATAAAAGAATTGGACTACAATACTCTTCATTAATTATATTAATCAAACCTTCATTAATTGTTTCTTATGATTATGAATGATAAAATTATGAGGGATAATTTAAAAAGTCTGTAATAAATACCTATTGAAAAATATGATTTTGCTTATATAAAAAAATAAAAAATGATAATTTTTCTTATAAATAAAAACTAAAAGAGTATCTTTATAAACACTTTTCAAGCTTTAAGTTTGCCCAATTTTACTTTTAACCTAACCTTTTTTTAGAGAAAAGGAAGACTCACATATCATGCACGTACACGAACATGTTAATGTTAGATTTAAACTTGGGAGTTCTTCCAAATGAAGAAAGTGATGTTATCATTAATATAATTAATCGTTGACTAGAAAGACAGACTTTGATCCATTTCAAAATCTTATACCGTCCAAATTGTTGATGAATTCTAGTGTTACGAAACTAATAAATGATTTGATTGCTCTTATTCTTCCAATCTCACAATAAATTTTGGATGAGTGTCGGTAACTTCTAGAATAGGAAATTTTTATTTTCCCAATAACATATATCTCTACAGCTTACTGCCTTTAAAAAAATCCACGCATAAACCACAGACAGCAATTGAATCCATTTGAAACGAACAGAAATATACCATGCAATGTCAGATTTCACCACACATTTATGGATTTAGCAAAAACAAACTTTGAAAATGAAAATATCACACACAATATAACTTATGAATTGGTATAACTTAGATCAAGAAGAATAAAAATTATTGATCTTCCCATTGAAAAGCTTTAATCATTCGCAATATAATATTAATTATTGAACTGGGCTCATTATTTACTTAAAAAAGGATAGCAAGATCTATGATATTCCTTTAATCCTATTTATAAGTCATTTTCAACATGTTTTATTAAAATTAAAAAAAAATTTAAAACTCATTAACTCTGTCAAGAAATTTAATAATTTCTTAACTTTGCCCATGTTAAATATAAATACTTTAACAATATATTTTTCTCTCCAATATTCAATGAAGGGCAAATGAAAGATTTTTTTATGAAAATTTAATAAAGTAACTTATAAATAGGATTAAAATTTTTTTGTCCCTATCCTATAAATAAGGGTAGAGGTAGTACACTAACTTACACTATATTAGCTAACTATAGCTTCTTTGCTTTTTGTTTTCTCTTTTTTTTTTTTTAAATTCTAAAGCCTTAAACTTTATCAAGGCCATGTGTAGTTTTAGTCTTTTAGACTCTCAACGCAGCACCTTTAAGTTTTATTAAAATTTTATTTATAATTTATATAATTATTTTTGATTTTTTACCTTAATAATTGATATTATTAGTCTTAATTATTTTTTTGGTTAAAAAATGTATTGCCACCTCATATTATAGTTAATGTTCACATTTTATCCAAATATAAAAACGTTGCTAATACTCAAATTTAACCCAATCAAACAGTAATCCAAACAAGGAGTGCTCAATTTCAAGTGTATCCACTTGTTAAAAAGCAAAGAAATTATGAACAAGAAAACGAGCCGACAACTCACAACTTGGCCCTTTCTTTAACATTAAATGTCAAAAGTTAACTATTAATTGGGTATGAACTGAACCTTGGGCGGCAACTAAAAAGTGTTAATTTGTCGTTTTACGTTGTTATGAGCTTATTAATATAATTCCATCTCTATTTAATGTTTGAACCTTTGAAAATGTCTTTCCAAAAATATTCATGTATAGCTTTTATGAGCATGTGGCACATAATTGAAATATGGTTGTTGCCTTGTTTATGGCAAGGACCGATTCAACATTTTGTAGGGACCTCACCTTAAGTCCCACCACCATAGATGTGAAGTGAAGGTTTTATGGGAAAATACTAATTTATAAACTATCTTTATAAATACTTTTTAGGTTTCAGGTTTGTCCAACTTTACTCTTAACCTAACCTTTTTATATAGGAAAGAAAGACTTATGTATCATGCATGTACACAAACATATTAATGTTGGGTTCAAGCCCAGAATTTTTTCCAAATAAAAAAGGTGATGTTATCATTAAGATAACTAATCGTTGACTAGGAAGAAAGATTTTGATTCCTATCAAAATCTTACACCGTCCAAATTGTTGATGAATTCTAGCACTTAGAAGTGTTCCGAAACCAAAACCAATAAATGATTTGATTGATCTTATTGACTTATTCTTCCAATCTCACAGTAAATTATAGATTAGTGTCAGTAACTTCTAGAATAGGAAATTTTATTTTTCACAATAACATATATCTCCACAGCTTACTGCCTTTAAGAAATCCACACAAAAACCAAAGACCGTAATTGAATCCATTTGAAACAAATAGAAATAGACCGTGCAACATCAGATTTGTCCATCACATTTATACATTTAGAGAAAACACAAAATTGAAAATGAAAATATCATACCCAATATAACTTATGAATTGGTATAACTTGATAAAGGAAAATAAAAAATATTAATTGTTCTTCCCATTGAAAAGCTTCAATTATTTCCAGTATAATAGTAGTTATTGAAATGACCCCATTATCTACATAAAGAGAATATCGAAATTCATTTTATACTAATTTACACTACATTAATTTGCTCTAACTCCTTTACACAGTTTCACACTTTTCATTTTTCTCCTTTTCTTATTAAAAAAACATAAAGCATTGCCAAACATCAATATTAAGGTTGTGTGTAATTTTAGTCTTTTAGACCATCAAGGCAGTATCTTTAAACCTTATTAAAATTTTGTTTATAATTTATATAATTATTTTTGGTTTTTTACATTAACCATTTATATCACCAGTCTTAATTATGTAAGGTGTAGTAGGAGTAGCTTATCAACACTAATTTTCAACTCTCTATCAAATTAATTTAGAATTTTATTAGAATTATTGTTTATAAAATTTTAATATATGATTTTGTAAAAATTGATCAGTGGATAATTTTTTTAAGGGGAAATTATATATCCGAGGCTTCACTAATAATTTTGCTTTAGACCTCAAACTTTTTTTACACAACCTTGCTTTTAAGTCAAATATTTTTCAAGGATTGGGTTTTAAAAAATAAAAAATTTTGATATAAAAAGCTTTTAGACCTCATCCTAATAGCCTTGCAAAAATAGGCTTGAACTCAAGCTTATAAGAATCAAGTCAACCTTTATTAACAGCTTTACCTGAATAAGAAGCAAACAAAACTATGTTACAGAGGGACAAGAGGCTTCAACGAGTGACAGTTACTGTGGTTGCGCGTGAGAGCTTTTGCCTTTGAAGGTCTGTTACTCTAATAAACAATGATACTCCATGACCAAGAGGCCTGTAATTTGGTTTATATTCATCCATTCAATATACATAAAGAGAATTGGAAAATACTTATATATTTAACTTTATATATTTAAGGTGTTTGTTTTTATTTAAATTAAGGCATTTGTATCATTTATATACTCCTTCCATTCAAAATGTAAGGCATTTTTAACTGAATCTCACCTCTCAATAAAGTAGTTGCCTATTTTTCAACTAATTTTATCTTTTCATATTTACTTCTATTAAACACCCTACAATAAATATAAATTCGTTATTAATAGAGAAAAAAAGTAATAATTAAATCTCGAAAGACTAAAAATGCCTTATATTTTTTAACATCCAACTTCTCAAAAAATGCCTTACATTTTTGAACTAATGGAGTATTATTTATTTTATAACAAAATCTTATCATTAATATTATAAAAACATTAAAATCCATTTGTTTTGATTTAATTGAATGAAAGTATATTAAATATATAAAACCAAATAACTAAGTTTTGCCCAAGAGAATTCTTCTCTTAATAAATATAAGATTGTCCTAAAATAAATATAAATAAGTCCAGTGGAAGGAATTATATTCAAGGTATATTTAAACATTAAATGTGGACACTTATTTCAACAATAATTCAAATCTGAATTTTTCACAGCATGAGAAATTAACCTGTTTCACTAGACTTAACTCACATTGGTAGGGTAAAGATATTTTAATTTTATCTTATTTAAATTTTTTTAGCCAATTCTTTTTTAATTTAGTTGAAGGGGAGGGAGATTAAGAATGCGAACTTCACTTTGGATTTAGGATCCAATTTCATATTTCACTTATTGCAGTTCTTTCTATTTTTTGGAGTACAATTTTAGAATTGTATTGCCCTTATTTATGCAGATTTAAAAAAAAAAAAAAAGGAGGACAGTGGGATATGCCCACCAAAATCCAAACCACATCTTAAATGGGCCTTTCTGGAATATCCAATAAATTTGATATTATAGGTTTTGTTTTTGCCCGAGATTTTATAGTGAGCCCATATGATCAATTGCACAAAAAATCTCAAAAGTGAGAAGCAACAATTTTGGGACTGTAGTTTTATTTACACACACACACACACACACACACACACACACACACACACACACAAAGAAACAATTAGCCTCTGTTTAAAGTATTTATTATAATTTTCAGCTATACCCTTATTAAAGAAGAGATGTCATCTCATTAATAAATAAGCCAACTTAGTAAATTTTTCTACGGGTATTACCAGAAGAAAAAGTTTTATCTATTACACATTTAAAGCTTATAACTAAATTTACCTACTTTTCTTGGTATTGAAAAGTATGCATTTGTTGCCTATAAAAATAACTTAAGCGAACAAAACATAACAATAAATATACACGAGGACAAAAATTGGCCATTTGTTTTCTTTTAAATATGAAAGCTATTGTTAAGAACAATAATAAACCATATCCCACTAAGTGAGATCAGTTACATGAATTATATAATATTATTGTGCTCTATCAACAATTAAATATTTGGATATATTCTGATAAATGAGGAAATTATACAAATGATGAATGAGCTTTGACCAAAAAGTGAACAAGCCATGATCACAAATCAATGATCAAATGAATCCTCTAATATGGAATACTTAATCCGATCATCATAGTTGACAAACCACCACAACGAATAGACAAAGACTTCATTGTTGAACATCATTCACTTACTGAATAAAAAATGTACATAGTACAGACAGTAAATCCTTTCTAGGAAAAAAAAAAAAGAATCAAAAGTTGCAGAATATCATGTTCTATTTTCACAACCTAAAGTTGGCTAGAATACATGGCAACTTCAAAGAACTAACAATATAATATGCCAGCAACATGCCAATAAAATATGTCCTTTCTTTTCATGAGGATGGTGGAGTGTGTATATATATAGAGGGAAGGAGGGAGAGAGAGTTGAGAACAGAGACAGGATGGGGAAATTCTACTGTAGAGCATTGGACACAGAATAAATGAAGTCCAAGAAGCCAGTTCCCTTTAGAAGGCCCTTACCAGTCAAGAGCTCAAAATCCAGTAACAAGAGGAAACCGATGACGGCAGCCTTGCCATTGATTATTTCATTCTTCCCAGTGAAACCAAAACCCTCTAGGTCATCGTCAACCACCATTTTAACCTGACCATATTGTATATAACTAACTCAGGATTACACACAACAGAAACAGAAGATAAAATGGACCTAAAATCTTAATGTCGACTAAAATCCCCATATCCCTACATTTGGGATAAAAATGAGTCTTAATTACAAAGACACAGCGGCACATTTTTTTCCCCCCCAAAAAAAAAGAGTAAAGTTTAGTGAGATTACACAAAATTCCTTTCTATTGTCAATATCAATACAAATCTTCCATGATCTATCTTAAAAGTAATCTGGATCCTCTGTATCGCATGGAATCTAAGAAATAAGTTGTCCTATTCATAAGTCAAATAGTATGGTATGTTAGATTTTTTTTATATTATATATAAATGATAGAGACCTTTGTTTTCAAAACCCGTAAGGGCTTCTCGTGAACTAAAGAATAAAATATACAAACTTCCCACGAGGATAGATGAAATTACATAGCCTCTCATCTATTTTCAAAATACACCAAAAACTCTTCAAAATATAAGGGCTGTATGCACAAAATTTTAGCAAAATTCAAGGGCAATTTTCTTTTTGTCATCAAGAAATTAAAAAATAAAAATGGAAGGATGGTCTATGTTATTTCAGCCAAAAAAAAAAAGAAATTCAGAAAATCCATGCAATTTACTTTTCATTTTCAATGCAGATTGAAGTAAATTTTAATAATAGAAGGCAAGTATGTGTAATTTCAACAAAATTTAGAAAAAGTCCACGTAATTTACTAAAAAACCAACAGAAAAAAATAGTAACCAAACTGAGCCTCAGTGAAACTGAAAAGGGGATTCTGAATGCAATGTTTTTTTCTCTGAAATTCAAAAATCAACTATCATTATATAGGTGAAATTAGTGTAATTACCTCATCAACATTGACATCAGATGCCGTTAAACCAGGTTGAGCCTTCCCGCTGAAAACTATCTCAGTAGAAGCATCAGATTTTACAATTCCTCTCATGTTGATATAAATGTTCTCTTCATCAGTTTTCACAGGATATACAAAGAGTGTCCTCAAAGCAGGGGTGAGAACTCTCAGTACTGGATTTTTTGGATACCACTCCTTGATCTCTCCGGTCCGTAGATCAAATGTGCTATCAGTTGTCGGGCATACTATACAACCATCCTATGTAAAGATAGGACCAGAAGAGGTCAGTTGATTTTTAGTCAAGTTAAAATAATAAACAGATTTATCAGCAAAAGTTATGATATAATATATTAAATAACATATTAGCATCCCAAAATTTCATTTGTGCAAAAGGATAGTTCCAATTGTAGTACTTTTCAAGTTTTATAATGTTTAAAGATGATTAAAGACTTTGGTTTTGATAAGTCAACATTTATACATGAGAAAGGTAAGGCACTACCAGCCATAATTTGAAAGTTTTCACATGATTAATCATTTTGGAAAATACCGTGAATCTTGTGACTACCTTTTTGTTGAAACAAATTTCTCCGTTTTTACCTTGAGCCAACCTATTGTAACATTCTTCAGAAATGAATTTATTGAATTAGCAGAATTAGGAGTTCAAGAAATGAGAAAATTCAAAAGCTGAGTCGTGGAACAGTGGTCTAAAAGCAAGGACCAGGAACCTAGAGACTCAGAAAGGAACTATGAGGAACAAGAATTGACTGGAACTTAAATTAGAAGCAAAACAGATAGATCTACATTCTCGAACAACTATATTTTCATTTATAGAAGCCAACCTCCAGTGACGATTAAAGCGAATAGACTAAAGCAATCACAAGGCTGAAATTCACTCTCTTCTCATATTTTGTCATGACATACATCAAAAGAAAATCTACTCCATAGGAGTTATTATGAGAAGCACTTTGTGGGCATAAAATCATTTCTAGAGAGTTTTTTGAAGTTCTTAGAACAAAAACTAATTGACAATTTTGCTAAGTTATCAGAAAGAAAAGCCTAGTATACGTGTTCTAACGACTATTATACTTTTTTTAAAAATCTGATACGACAGATTTACCCCAAAGGGAACAAAGATTTCATAAAAAGTGCTGCACAAAAATGCAGCAGTTGTACTTTAAGAAATAAAATACGCAAATTCAGGAAGACTTGTTTCAGCGAAAGAACTAATTTATGTCAGTTTAAGATGCCAAAGTAACTTCGGTTGAATTTAGTTCCACCATTATGATAGATCAATCCTGTTTGGGCTTTTAATCACACACTTGTGATAAAAAAAGAAAACAAGTTAATTTTTCTACGGAAAATAAATAATGAAACTTAATCTAAATCTTTCAATATCAGATGGATTAAAAATTTAAAAATGCAAAGTATAGGAATTTCGCAAGGCGTCTTGTAATCCATGTAACCGATCCCACCTAGTGGGATAAAGGCTTGTTGTTGTTGTTGTATAGGAATTTCGCAACACAAGTTTTTCACATTCTCATTTGAAGGACTCACAATAATGCATGTAATATGATAGAGAAGCCAGTGAAAGCATTTAACCTTCTAACCCAGAGAAACTACCCATCCTAAGCAAGAGCTTTCATGACAAGACACTTCATAAAAGACCTGTCAGAACTTCAAAGGCATTAATAAATTAATATTCTCATGAAATGGATGTTCCCCGAGCACAAAGTGAAACACAAAGCCTAAACTCCAAATATCATCAAAAGTATGGACAACTTGAGTTGGTACGCAACTGAAAGGAGAATTCAACCTTTCCAAGCTACTCAATCCATTTGCAAGACACAGATTCCACCCTGTTCTCAAATTTACACTAGCTAATTAAGGAGGAGTCTAATCTTGGGCTCTCGACTTTGTTGTTGTTGACTCCTTCAAGTAGCATTATGACATTCTCTTCTATGATTAATCTACCAAATAGTTGTTCAATTTTCCTTGGTCAATTGAAATAGCAACTTCATTAATCCAATTGCAACATCAACTTGGAGAAGAAAACACAAGTAACTCATTACTTATACATATTGTACTTGGAGAGGGAAGGGATCAAGAATCTTGACAAATGATTAAATAAGTCTGAACTCTGAAGTCTGATAATCGGAGGTTGACTTTGGCATAGCTCTCTTTCTGTTTTTACTTTTGTTTTTGCCCCTCTCCGATATATCAGTGGGCGTATTCCTTGAGTTGGATATTCTTGTCAAAGAATTTTACAAAAAGAAATTATCCACTCTTTTGATTCAATCTAACCCACGCAAATTCTAACAATACTGTATAACTTAACAAATAGTCTTTTTTTTCATATGCACCCTCTCAAACATAAATGTTATGAGAGAAAATTTGGTCCCAAGTCCAAAGATCAAGGTAGCATCTTTGCCTTAAATAACTTATAATGAGGACTGCTTATAATTACAAAATTTTGTAGAAATTTCCCATTAAAATCCGCTTTGCAGCTAGCCAACTCAATTAAAATCCGAGCATGACATTGCTTTTGAGAATCCTCCAACATTCACAGACTATGCATAATAGCTGTATCTGCATAAGAATTCAAACCAAAAAAAAAAAAAACAAGTCAAGGAATGTACTCAAACCTGGGTAAGCTTGGCATTGAGTAAACCCTCAGTATAAGCACCTTCAGCAGGGGACCTATTCTCAATGGCGTACACCTGATTCTTATACCACAGCAACAGAATCGTCTCACCCTCCTGAATTATCACGCGCCTCTCCCCCCTCGGCAGAGCCGAAAGAGGCACCACCGGAATCCAGTTCTCATTCCCACCGCCACCTCCTCCTCCTCCGGATGCTGAAGATTCTTCAGCCACTGAAACTTGAGTCGCCTCACATCTAAGCCGCCGAACAGAGTTGGCGTGCAGGTAATGGAGATTTAACGATGATTTGAAGGAAGAACAGTGGTTGGAAGATGGAATTGAGGGGCAAAGAAGAAAGGATTTGCGAGAAGGAGAGGAATTGGGAGATGGGATTTTGGAACATGAAGGGGAGAAAGGGGCTGAGGCTGAGGCCATGGACGTGGAGCTTGAGTGGGGAAAGAGGAGAGAGGAGTGAGTGGAGAAGGAAGATGAGAGAGAAAGTTAAGGCTCTGCATGACATCTTTCTTCAGAGTCCACAGAAAGATGATAATAATGAAGGGGCGAGCATGTATTAGCCACATTTCTGATTCTCAGTATTTTGCTTAACCTATTCGTTAATTCTTCCTTTTTATGAGTACAATACTATAATATTATAGATGTTTTCATTTTATAATAATAATAATAATAATAATAATAATTTTGTTACTAAATTAAAAAATATTTACTTTTTCACCTCAGAAAATAAATTTTTCAAAAAATATTATTTCGGATTGTTGGTAAAAAATATTATTTTAGATTATATGCTTTTTAATTAATGTAAATTGTTATCTAATGCTCCGTTTTTTTAAAATTATTTCTTTTTATTATCTAATTAAAAATAAAAAATTTAATTGTAATATTTAAAACACACGACAACTGTATTTATTTTTTCATTAAAATTTCACATCCCATTTATGCTAAATCTAAATATGGCCTCAACTTCAATTATTTGAATTAAAGTCTTAATTTTAGCCCAAACCCAACAAACTTTTCTAAAAGGGAGGTTGTTGCAGCAAGATTTGGTCAAGAAACACGTTGTTTAGTAATAGCAAGAGTGGAGAAAGTTCTAGATATATAAATAATGGCTATAAAAAAGTAGAGCATAAACTCGTATGAAATCTATCACTCTAATACTTATAAAAGGATGAAACCGCAATAAACTCAAGATCTCTCCAATCTCTCCAATAATTCCAACTCTAATAAACTTAGCAATACTCAAATAAATTTAACATTTGATATGATCAAATTAGACACTTTCTCCTTCAACAAATTCAATATAGTTCTTTTAGAACAATATAAATTTAATAGATAAGCAACAAATTCTCCAACAACTAGTAAAGCACCAAGCTCCTAGTAGGACAGTAGCAACAACACTCTAGCTGTTTTCTTTTAATTTTTCATTTTATATTTTCAGTAATTTTTTTTATATCATTTTCAATATCATGTTTGCTTTTGCCATGCAATTCTTTCATTTTTATTCTTTTTTATTTCATCATTTTTTTGACTTTTAAGCACTTGTATTCAGAAAAATTGTGATAAAGTATTCCAAGAACTCATCATTTAAGGATTTACTCATGTGGCATGCTCACAAACACATTCATAAATTTATTTTCTTGCAAAACATAAAGTTAAAATTTCTGTGTAAATAATAAAAATAAAATATAGCATCTAGCATATTTGTGCCTCATGTAAGCTACAAAATGTACTAGCTTGGTTCCAAATTCAAGTTCTAGTACCATCAACGTGAATAAAATAAAAAAACTAAAATATAGCAAATTAATTTGTGGTGCACTTTTTAATAAAAACATGGGAGCAGTAAAGTACCCATAAAAAACAAAATTCGGTCGAATGTAGTAAAGTATGAAGATGGGCCTAATACCCATTAAAGAACTTTGGGCCAGCTTTACCCATGGCTCTATAAATGAAGTTTGCTTCTTGTCTCTTGTTTCTAATAAAATCTATGGAAATTCTAACTTTGACTAAAATATACAAAATTTTCCTGAATTTTAATAAAATTTTACAAAACCCCTTTCAGTTTTAAAATTTTAAAATTAAACTCATTGACCTTTAATTTTTTTTAACACAGGCTTTCTTACTGTTATTGTTTAGTTATCTTTCTAACAAAAGTTGCAATGTCATATTAAAAAAACAAGAAGAAGATATCTAGGAACTTACATGACATCCGATATAAGTTAATAATAACATAAAAAATATGAATAAATTTTTTATAAAGCTATTAATAACTTATATCGGATGCTGCATAAGTTGCCACATGTCTTTTTTAAATATGGCATGACAACTAAAATATAACAATAGGGGAGTTTGTGGTAAAAAAAAAAAAGTTAGGGAGGTTAATTTTAAACATTTAAATATGAGAGGATTCTATGAAACTGCCTTAAATTTTAGAAAAGTTTAGTAATTTTAAATCGCCTTAAAGTTTAGTAATTTTTAATTCCTGAATTTATTTTCAATTATCCATTTGATTCTTAAACTTTGACTCAAAATAACATAGTCCATGTACTTGTTGACTTAAAACAACTTAATGCCCTATTTGATATAGTGAAAATGATTTTGATAGAAATGGATATAAAAGCAAACATAGATATGAGGTTTAAAAATATGTCTCGTGTGTTGTTGAGATCCTGGTATAATTTTAATAACATAATTATATTTATAATGTTAAAAGACTAAAATACCCTTACTCAAATAAAAAAACCCTAGACTAATAAAACAACCCTCCACCATCGAATATGCTAGTCCCCACCACCAACACCATTCATCAACAGCATAGAACAAAGAACTTTTTAGAGTAGCAACAACAACAATTGAAAACAAAGAGTCAGTATTAAAGATTTGTTGGAGATTTTTAGATTCATTGTCATTGAAGATATTCTCAAAGCTAGAGATTTCCTATAGTGCCTTAAATTTTTTAAACCAATGTATTTAGACATTTTTTAAAATGCTATCATAGTAAAAAGCTTACCATGGTAGAAAGAAGACATGCCATCATTTTAAAACCTTACCATTATATAAGAGTCTATCATGAAAATTAAGAGTCAAAACAATTTTATAAGGGTTTATTATGATATAAAGATTTTTCATAAATAAAGAATAATTTCAAAGTTAACTACCATAGTAAAAAAGAGCTACTGTAGTAGAAAAAAATTGACATGTTAAAATAAAACTACCATGATATTTAGGAATTTGTTAGATCAAGAAAGGTGTGCCAAATGGAATCCCATTCAAAATAAAAAATTCAAATCCAACAAATTAAAATAAAACTAAAATAATGTTGAAGCATGGTTCCAAGGGCCATTTCATCCAAAAATAAGTCTAGCAGGTGTAAAAAGGGTCAAAAGGGACCATTTCAAAAGTTAAAGACTTAATAGGGATAATTTTAGAAATTTATGTCATGTGTTGAGGCACACATGTGTGTTATGGCGCGCGGTGCTGAATCAACAACATGACAACATGAACAATAAATGCAAACTTTAAAATATCATAACTTCATGCACGCATATTCAAATTAGATGATTCAACTGTCCATGCAAATCTTATAATATAATCTAGCTATTGGTTTTGATATAGTGTAAAAATACTTTCATATGACAATTTTATCCACTAAAACCCATCTAGGGTCATAAAACAACTTACCAAACACTTTAACTTTTCAAACCAACACCAAAGCCAAGAACCATCATGTGGACCACTTAACCACCCCACATATGCATAACATGACTCAAACAAATCATTTCTTTAGTCACATGCACTCAAAATCACCAATTGAATTATAATCACTAACACAATTATGATGAAAATTTAACATAATTCACCATAAAATAATCTTTCACTCCAAACATGCTTTTAATATTTTGAGCATATACAAAATAAGGCCATGTATGTCAAAAACCAACTTATGGCAACCATATACAAGTTAGATCAAAATGTAGAGTCATAAATGCTCAATTACATAAATTATGCTCCTAGGTTGGTAAAATATACATAATTAACACTAATGAGGCCTAACAAAAGTAGTGGGTGTCCCATACACAAATATATGTCTCTAATGCTTCTCCGGCTAGACCAGCTCCTATAAAAAATGTCCACTATAGGGAATGAGACATAAAGGTTCAAGAAACCAATACTAAAATGATATAATGCATGCAATACAACTAATCACCTGATTGTTAAGTGGGCATACAAAACATGTTTCTAAATAAGTTATAACCAAATAAACCAAACATTATCTCCTCTTTATTCCATACTCGAAATCTAACTCACCTAACTAAAGATAAGTTAGTCCAAGCTACAAGTCATTCATTGGGTCTAACGAAGTCATATCATGTGGTATAAGTACTATTCGTATAAGAAATCTCCATCACCATTTCAAATCCAACAAGTCATGTGAATAACATACCTAAACAACTTACATGCTTCCAAACATAGGAATTATATAGAACATAATCATATACAATTTCATCCCACCTGGCAATAAAATTTCCAAACAAATAATATACAATTCAAACATAATATTTTTCAAATGACATTTATTTTTAACCACACACACACACACAAATTAATCACAAAGTAAATACCATAACAAATTAGTAAAGGTTACCTTTGTCTTTAGCATGTTTTCCCAAATAAGTAATTTATCATCTCCAACAACTTCAATACTACAATCTACGCACAATATAATGTTATTTATTGTCAATACAAGTGTTTAAACACCAATCACACACTAATCTTTGGGTTAATTATGTTAATAATCTCATAACCCCAACACACTCCCATACACTTTAATCATCAAACGTAGTTATTCTCATCTTCATTACACCTCTTAAACATAAATTTAGCCTTTAATTACTCTAATCCTCATTAATGATCATCCTACAAATCTATAGTTTCATATTTAATCACCTTACCATAATTTTCATCATTAAAACAACTTAAATAACATTCATCTAACCTTATACAAGCCTTATAATTTGGACCTATGGCTAGAACAACCAACAAAATACGCCTAGAAATGGAGATAAGAGGGTAGGAGAATGATAAATGAGCTTACTTTAAGCATTTGGAGCCTCAAAATCAAGCCTATATGATGGAAGATGTGAAACCCTAGTAGAACCACTTAATTTTGCCCCCCATTACTCAATTTTTCTCCCTCTCTTTCTAATTTTTTGAACAAAACATAAATGTTGAAAATGTGCCATGGCACAAGTGTTATGTGTCATGACATATGGTACAATGCCAAGAAATGAATTTCACTTAAATTCAATCATTTAGGCCCAATTTGGCCAAATATTTATGTTGGACCTCAAATAACCTTCATACATGATTATATGCCTAATTTCAATCATAATTAAGTGCTTGAATAATTAATTAACCTCGATCAAACATAATCCCATAATTACGCATAAATTCAATTCTCAAATGCACACATTTTTCTCAACTAAATCCTCAATTACATATATTTTCTTAATTAATTTCTAGCTTAAAATTAGGATGTTATATTTGTTGTTGCAAAGAAGAAGTGGGGGAGGAAGATGAATCTAAGCTTCAGTTGTTGCATCCTCTCCATTGACACTGTCACGTCCTCATCATCATCATTTTCTAACTGGAGAAAATCACAAATTAAAAGCGAAAATCCTTGCTCTTCAAAGACTAGTGCTAGCAAAAATGATAGATGTTAACTCCATGACATCTTTGGTAACTAACGATGGTGCTCACTATTGCCATTGCTATTAAAGGTGGTGCTCACTGTTGTCAAGGTGGTGCTTGTCATCAAGGATGGACGAAAGGAGATGATAGGGGTCAGGGATAGAGAAAGGGGTATGATAGGGAAGATTGTGCGAGAAGGTTCAAGGAATTTGGGCTTCATAAGGGTTGAGATGGAACTCAGTTCTATCAATTTTGATGGAAATGACTTTTATGTGAAAGCCAAGTCAACCTAATTTTAACTAACCAAACATGTAAAATTTTCAATTCTATTTCCATATCAATTTTCACCCAACCACTTTCATCATACTCAGCAAGTTCCTTTGGCTTAATATAACCTAGTCCTTGTAATTTCTTAACTTGATAAATTATAAAAATTGAGTTATACTAAATCAAAATCTAAGAACTAAATTAATAATTAAGTATGAATTAAAAGTTATATTATTCCACAATTTGTTCTTGTCCTTCAAACAGTTTTAAGATTCTAATCTTATCAAAATCGGATTGAAGTGGCCATTATAGGAATGATTAGCACCCAATAGAGGAATGAATTGGGAACAAATTTTATTATATATAAAGAACTGCTCTCAAGAAATTAACAACTTTTATTGAATGGTCTAGAAACAAAATTTATTATATATAAAAATTTTCATTATACAATTAAGTGGCTTGACGACTTAAAAAAATTCATGAACCAAAAGGTCATGAATTCAAGCTCCCGTTTGATCACTTTAGAGAATTTCATAGGTCGGCTAGTCGTTGGAGCTAGTAGCCTTTCCATTAGTGATGCAGTTTCAATGGCTTTCAATGATGGCTTCAACACCCCTAACAAGGGTAGAGAATGTTTGTTTTTTTATAAAAAAAAGTAAGAGATATTAGGGTAATTGATGAACAAAACATAATTTGAATTCAATCCTTATATCTTTTATGGATATTTCAGATTCATTTCATCCCTAATTGATGAAACGTTGATCCACAGTGAATAAAATTGGACCAGATATTCACAGCTCGTGTATTTTATAATTTTTGTAAGCAAATTTCTATTATATATTTTTTCGGTTTTTATTATAAAGCACACGTTCCAGAAGAAATGAGTAATCCTTATCATAAATTATTTGATGGGATATTAATGAGAGTAAATGTAACACAAATTTAAAATTTTTTATTTAAATACAAGAAAAATTGACTAATATAGTATTTTTTTGAAAAAATAAAACTCTAAATCCTTATACTTTATTCAAATTTTGTTATAAGTCATTGAATTTTTTTAATTTTAAATTTTATATTTTTATTTTTGGGTGTTCTAAATTTCTCCATATCCAATGTTATAAGGACCTAAAATATTAAAAAAAAATAAAAATTTATAACAAAACTCAAACAAAATGTAAGAATTTAAAGTGATATTTTTTCTATTTTTTTTAAGCAAAGTTAATGTCTCCTTAATTCTTATTTATGGTAAGGTGAACGGAACAGAGTGTATATCTACATGCATGGGCCTATCATAGACAGGTATTATTACCAGAAAACCACCAGGAGGATTACACGTGTCCATAATTTGACGCTCAAAGCTGACGTGGAATAGCATTATAGTTAGATCTCCCGCGTCCCATCTTCCTTCTCTTGCAAGAAGAGTAGGTTTGCTTTCTCTTCTTCCACCAATTTTTCTCTCGTTTTCTTTCCCTCACCTTCTTTCCACCAGAAAGTAGGGCAAAATTTTCTCGGAAAAAGAATTAAAAGGCCATGGACAGCCTCGAAAATAAAGTGTGTCTGTTCATGGGCGATGAAGAACAATGTTCTGAAAAATCAGAGCTTGAAAACTTCAAATCAGAGAATTTCATTGACGAATTGCAGAATCACCATGAAGAAAGAGCCTTATTCTGGGAATCTCAGGAAGCCATGCTTCAGGTACTTTTTTTCAATTTATATTTATCCCATCAGTAATTAATTTGCAGAATCTTAATGAGATTTTAATTAGAAGCTTAGATTAATTCAATACAGAAAATTAATTTATCAGGTTTTTGGGGTTTGCTGGCAAACTCGTTGCAAAAGCCTGAACTTCTAGTTGAATCATGTAATGGTTATTATTATTTTTTGGCTTAATTAATTTTCTTTTTAATATTAGCGGCTGCTAGCACAGGAATGAGTTTAAAATCAAGCAGACAATTATACCCATAATTGGAAAATTGTTATTTTATGTTAATTTGGGTGGGACTTTTGAAGTATTTGAGATAAGAATAGATATTTTTATTTTATTTTATTATTCGTGGCTAAAGACAACTTAATTATTTAGTATCATAGCTCCACCACTCATTGCTTGTGTGGTAATACATAAATCTACCCCAGAATTTTATTACACAAAAATCCAATATTGTGTTACTAGTAACACATAATTTTTAGTTACAGCTAAATAAGTTTTTTTTATAACATGAAAAAAAAAACTGAAAACCCAAGAGTTCATGACAAAAATGGTAGCAAAATTATTCTTATTATGAGAAAATTACTACTTTCATAATATAATATAGAGCTTTTCATCAAAATTATTCTCATTGTTCTTATTTTTAAAGGTTGTGTTAGGTGAACAAGCAATTCTTAAACCTTAATGTAATATTTGGTACCAAGAAAAATGTTTTTCCAGAAATTAGGAAAAACAAAATCACGAATCTCATTTCATTTTTAAATGTTTTTCATTTTTTCTCACAATTTTTTTTGTATTAAACATTGCATACAAATTTTAAATAAATACTCAATTTCAAATATACAGTTTTTGGTACACCATAAAATGGAAATCCCTTTTAATTTGCCTAATTTCCCCCTGAAATATTAAATAATAATGTTAAAATAATTTCCCCCTAAAATAATGCTAAAAAATGAGGCCTAACTTGACTAACTCTCCCATATCAATATAAAATAAAAAATACCAAACATAGCCTCACTCTATATATATATATATACATATATGTCTCTCATTTTAATACATTGAAAAAAATGAATATAATCTTTGTTATGCTACCCCATCCTTGTCCGTTGCTCAACGAATTATATTTTATAAGTCAGAAATAGCGTAATTTATTGTTTATATTTTATATGATGGAGACCCACAACTAGTTCTTGGGTAATAAAGTTATAAGGAATTTGGAGTCAAACTAAAAAAGTAAACATTCCATAATTTAAGTACGTATATATAATTAATAACACCCTCAGTTTATTTTAGTCTTGAATTTTTAAAGTTAGTCAAAATAAGGATATAATTAAAAATTTTAAAAATAAAAATATGAAAGTAACGTTGCCTTGAAACTTTAGTATGAAAGAAAATCTTTGCTGGCCAAAAAAAAAAAAAAAGGAAACTTCAGTGTGAAAGGTAAGTGAAAAATAATTGACAGTTCAAAAGGGCAAAAAAATAAATAGAGGAAGTATGTGAGGCAGATAATTGGAATGAAAATGGAATATTCCTTGAACCGCGGGCCCACAACACTCCCAGAAATTCAAGGTTTGTTGGTATTAAATTATACGTATATACACTCTCTTTGTATCATTTTAGGAAAAAAAATTTAAAAAAATTTAATATTTAATATTTTATTTATAATATAATTTGAAAAATAAAAATTTATTAATTAATTATTTTAAATTATCACTCATTTTTTAAAATATTTTTTAGTTAAACAGCTTTATTTCTTTTATTAAATAAATGTTACTTTTGAGAGTTTATATTTTTTTAGAAATTAAGATGCTAAATTCTATTTAATTAATTCTATTGATATTCAAAATTTTACCAAAAAATATTTTATAAAATGAGAGTATATTCTAAGCATATGCCATGTATGTGATATGTGTGCCCACACTTGTGGTTGCTCTGACCAAAGGAGGATAGCTAAGAAATTATCCTTTAAATAGTTTTAATCTAATAATTTAAATTACAATGTAAATTTATTTCTTCTATTTTTTTGTTTTTAATTTAAAAATTACTAGTATTCAATAGGAGTAATTTTTGGGTTTTTTTAATTATTAATAATGTTATGGTGGTTGATAGGAAATTATAGAGAGATACAACATGGTAGGTAGGGAATTAAGAGAAAAGGTGGGAAAAATATTGGAAGAGGCTAAGAAGGCCCCACAAAATAAATGCAATTGCAAGAAACCGAACATGACGACGTCGTTTGGGTGTCCCCACTGTTTAAGAACATTTGTGGTTTCTGTGCTCTCTCTCAGAGGTTACAAAGCTTCCCTTAGCCACTCCAAATGGGATTCCACCAAAAAGGTCCCCGGAGGTACTCTTTTTTTTTAATTAAATTATAATTGTATCAAAGTTATTATTATTTTTTGTTTGTTTTGATTTCATGACTATCATCATCACGCCGGCGACACCATCTATTTAAATAAATAAAAAGATTGTTTGCGTAAACATATATATTAAGGTCAAAAACATGTATAGGGATCCTACTTTACAATCACAAATGTAAATATTTGTATGTATGTATATATGCATGCATTCAGAAGAAGATATAGAGAGAGAGAGAGATGTAACCATGTAATTGTGAGATGTGGACTCTATGCAAGATATGAACTTCGCAAACAATTATATTTTTAGAAAATTGGTTTCAAGGATCAAAGGCGAAATATTTGGGCATAAGTCCCGAATGCAAAAATAAAGTTTTTAGGGGGCCATGGTCTTATAGTGATAATATGTTTTTAGAGAAAATAACAAAACACTCTTCCTTTTATTTGCACTAGTCTATTGAAGTCATCCATGAATATTTAATAATCTACTCTAGAGACAGATGCCAGGGAAAAAACAAGAAGAATAAGGGAATTTTGATATTTTCACTAAAAAACATATTGTCCCTTAAGGACCATGATACCTACAAGTTTTATTTATGTATTTGGGAGCGGGATAATGTAATTTCTAGTCCTTCAAGTTTGTTTTAATTATTAATTTAGTCCTTTAAATTTAATTTTTATTAATTTAATCATTTAAGTTTACTTTGGTTATCGATTGGGTCCTTATTGTTTATAATGGAGGTTACATTATTAAAATTTGTTGACATGGACAAAACTCTAAAATTTAAAAAAAAAACAAGAGAACAAAACATAGTGTAAATGATTATATTGATAGAAATTAAATCAATTAATTTATTCTCATTTAGCTGCATAGGTATGCAAAAGCATTAATATACTTTACACTTAGATTATTTTGAGAGTTCATTTGTGTTTTAAAATTTAAAGGACTCATATAATAATTTAAGAAATATAAGAGATCAAATCAATTAAAAATTAAACTTAAGCGATTAGATTGATAGCTAAAGCAAATTTGAGGGACTGAGATTTTTATTATCCCTGTTTGAAACTTATGTCCAAATATTTAAGTTTTTTGGTCCATAAGGTCAATTTTCCTTATATTTTCTTAAATTACTCTCTCCTCTCTAAATACATTGCTGTAATGGATCCAATTTAGTATTCTAAAGCAAATTCACCAATTACACTTAATCCAATGTCCTTTTTAATTTTGTTTAATTTTAAAAAATATTAATAAACCCCACCACTATCGAATATTTTTGCAAATTAAGTTATCATTATTCAAGTTATTAATAATCAACCAATCTCTCTTGCTCTCTTTCTAGTGATTGGTTTTGTTGTATTTGAAGGTTCACATGAGTACATAGAAGTGATGGCAAAAACACAAACAAGAAAGAAGCAAATGCCATATCTGATTGAATTGGAGCTAAGGGACCAATTTCAGATTGGAAGAGCAGGAGAAGAATACAAGAACTTGGTGTCGATGTTGCCAGAATTCTACGTCGGTAGGCCAGAGTGCTTGACGGCGATAATCAGAGTCATGTGCAGTGTTGCAAAGAGGTCAATGAAGGAGAAGAATATCCACATGGGTCCATGGAGGAAGAGAAGCTTCATGCAAATGAAGTGGTCAGGTCTGAACAACAACACCACCACTACTTGGACTTCTCCTTCACTTCCCACTTCATTCCACTTCATGCAAGCAACTAGTAACAAAGCCTGCAAAATTAGGGTTTCTGGAGCTCATACTGTGGTAGTCACCTAATTGAGTGATTAATTTTAATGAGGGAAATTTGTTTTTGGTTATTACCTCTAGTAATTAAATGGAAATATTACAAATAAGGGCCTGTGAAAATTAGTAATAACCATTGAAGATCATAAAATTTTGAAATTGAATTTAAGTATCAGGGTCTTTTTTGCTGTAGTTTGCAAGTTTAAGTGCCTAAATGTGCATTTCATGGTCTTGAAATTCAATTTTAACATTTTGTGATCCTAAATGATTATAACTTTCGTAGGTCCTTAATTGCAATTTTTCCTAATTAAATTTGGATTCATGGTAGTTTGTGTAGATTTTCAATCCAATTTTGATATTAAACAAAATTTATATTGTTTATTTTGATCTGTAGCATGATGCGAGATCAAAACAGGCAATAGAAATCTTTTCAACAAAATTGAACTGAAAACTCACAAATCACACTGAATCCGTCACATCTCTATGGCTATGTCTTTCATTTTTATAGCATAGATTTTATAATCTAATTTTAGGCTGAAGGCGTCTTAGTTATACATAAATAGGACAATTTTGGTGGCTAATTGAGTTATATATTTGATGATTTAGTTACTCTGCATTGGGTGAGGCTAAAGTAAATTGTGTAGTTTATTAGGTTATAATATTGTGCTGTTGAAATAGAACAATACAAAAGAAGAGATATTGATATTCAATCACTATATATGTATTGGACTTCTGTTTGTTTGGTTTTTTTTTTTGTTTAACACCTGTGATGTTTAATTTGGAAGAAATGAAAATGTTGGATGTACACTCATAAAATATGTTATTTGATGTTCTCTTAAGTTGTGTTTAGATGGGTGAATTTGTGTTAGAAATTTAGATTTGAAATCTCACATTTAAAATTTATATATTTTAAATTCTTTATTTGGATAGTATAAAAAATTTAAATTATAATATTGAAATCCTTTGTTTGAATCTTAAGTAAAATTTTAAATTTTAAATTATATATTTGAATTTAAAAGCAATTTGAACAACATCAGCAGTTTGGTCCCTATGCTAGCACCAATCGTGATAGGATTGTTAGTATCGATCGGGACTGGACCACTAGGGTTGATCGAGACTGGATAGCCACTCGCAATTAGGATCTGATAGTTAGCTCCCACCATGATCAGGATCACCGACTTCAACCGAGACCTTACCAACGACCTCAATCAGGACCAAACTACTAATGCTCTGTTCTTGGTCGGCATCAATAATCTTATCCTGGTTGAAGTTGGTCATTAGATCTTGGTCGTAAGCAGTTGTCTAGTCTCGATCTACACCGACGATCCTATCCTGGTTGGTGCAAGCTTTTTGGTCTGGGTAGAAGTCAATCATTCGGTCCTAGTCATTACTGGTAGCATGGTCTTGATGGAAGTCTCCTGTTCAATTCAGATCACAGGTGATGGTTCAATCTTGATTGTCACCTACATTTCAATCTCGTTTAACACTGAAAATTCATTCCTAATGAAAGTTATCTATCCGGTCTTGATCAACAATTGTGGCCCAATCTCAGTGGACGATAACAGTTCAGTCCTAGTTACTATTGACAATCTAGTTGCATTTGGCACTATTGACAAGCTAGTCAAATTACAAAGAAATTGATGTAAGATTTAAAATAATAGTGGTTTAGAAATAATTTCAAATTAAAAAGAAACTGAGGTAGAATTTGGATTTAAATTTGAGTTAAATCCAAATTCATATATTTTTAATTACCCAAATAATGAATATGTCTCAAATTCAAATCCATATACATCCAAGTATAGCATTAGTGTTAAATTTAAAAGAAGAATGAGAACATTCTTTCTCCTTTTTTTCTCTCTTAGGTCATGTTTGGTATGAAGGATTGAGAGGGTGGAATTGGGTTTGGGACTGAATAATCTCACTTTTTTATATTTGGTATGAGGTATTAAGCATTTCAGTCTCAGTACTAGTCCCACTTTATGTGGGATTACCTAATATCACCATCTCCGTAGTAATGGAAAATTAGTCCTAGGATTGATATTTTTAAGACAAAAATGCCCTTCTCTCTCTAGCTCTTCATCTCCCTCTCTCTTGATATGCTCCTTCCTTCTTGGCATTCTTATTGCGCCTTGCTCCTTCCTTCTTGATATTCCAACTATGCTACCATCTCCATCATTTTTGCTGCATCGCCATCTACATCCCTTTAGATCCAAATTGCTCTCTACATTACTCGTGCATTATACAGATCCTGGGATTTAAAATCATCACCTTAACTTATTCTCAATAGTGATGTCTTCAATTTAGGTTGGCTTAGACTCGAGCATCGATGAATGATTGATTTATGGTGGTTATGAATAGAAGCTTAAAGGATGATGATAATGGAGATTTACGCTTCTATAGTCCACTTTTTCTTTATTTTTATTACCCATGAAATCCCCTCCCATTGTTCTCTTTATCAATGCCTTCTTCAATTCTGTCATTGCTAGCTTCTTGAGCATGAGTACTTGATTCTTGAAAATAAATTTATTGATTTTGTTGTATGATTTTAGTACTTTTGACCAAATCATAAGCGAAGATCTTAGGTTGAATTTTCTTAAGTTTTTAAGTTTATTTTTTCCAAGATCTTTAATTTATGATGTATAAATTTTTAGTTGTTTTTTGGGTTTTCCTGAGATAAAAGTAAAGCATGATGAAGATGAAATGAAGGACCAATTTTTGATTCATAATAAGGGTGGAAGGAAAGAGGTGAAGGCATTTGGGACTTTTTTGAGTTCTTTTTGTTCAATCCCAATCTAATTTTTTTAAATCCCATACCAAATATGATTTTAAAATTTATTCTCAGTCCCAGTTCTAGTCCCAATTTCAATCTCAATCACAATCCTAATCTTTTAAAATGTAATACCTTATACCAAATAGGACCTTATGGTTTATTTTTCTCTAGTGTGCGCAGGTCACTAGCGACCTTGCAGAGTTTGCTCTACTAGGGGATCCCCCCTTCCCTCATATTTAGAGGGCTTTTCTCATGTTTAGCGAGTCATATTCCTTTTATTTATGGCAAGTGTCTATATATGGCTGGTGCGGAGCTATTGTTTGGTTTAGGTGTGGGTTAGTGTGAGCGTGTGAAGGAAATTTGGATGAGATATTGATAAATTGGTTATGGATCGGAGAATCAAGAGGTCTGAAACCATGTAGATGTGTGGGCATCAAGCTTAGAATAGATTCTTTTGTAAGATCGAGCTATGCACAGGGAAACTGTGGAGATTCCTTAAGGTGCTAAGAGGGAAGACAATCTTCAATGTGTGTCATTGGATGCAATATTAGTCAATTTTGCTTTGAATCTGTGAAATATTGATGAATGGGTAGGGAGTATTAGGTTTCAGGGTCTAAGGATTAATTTCTGGTTTTATGCGATGAGAATAGTAAGTTCTATTTCCTTACTAAACTAGTTGCTATTCATTGATAGATGACAAGGAGCAAGACTTGGGTGTGTTAGGTCGAAGGCTATGGGTATCATCACTATGACTTTAATGTTTCACTTCTTTTAAAGTTTTGATCCCACTTTCCTATCGTATATTTGCTTTGTGTTCATTTATATTGCAATGTTTAATAATCTAATTTGGAAATATTTTATTGAATAGGATAAGAGCTTTTGTTCATTTTATTGCCTAAATTTTAATTTGGTGTTTTGGTGGATGGATTTTAGTTACTTGGTGTGGTTTCTGTTCTAGTTTTGGAGGTGGGCCGTGTTGGAGATGATTGTTTTAGATTACCTTTCTCTAGATTGCTATATAATAGTTATTGTTTTGTTTTGGTAGGACATCTTGCTTTTGCAAATTGGTGTTTCTTTTTTTATTTGATAGACAAAGGCCTAGTTTAAGGATTAAGGAGTTATTAAAATCTAAAGCAATTTTTGATAGAGGAAGAAGAGAAATATAGACGAAAATAGGGGCTGATTTCATTCACACCCTCCATTATACCCTAGATACTCTATTTATATAAAATATTCCCAAGTACCCAGATTACCCTTTTATCCTTAATTTCCCTAATTATCCCTTTTTATTGCTAACTCTCATATTCCCACGTATCAATATACTCCCCTCTAAAAGAGATCCTTGTCCTCAAGGATCAGTACAAAGATGAAAAGTTAAAACCTATATCTAATATATGACTTATTCTGGTGCCATCTCCTCTTGAGCGTCTACAAATATCTCTACTCTGTCTTCAACAATTAAGGAAAAGACCTGTGAATCTTGGCAATGGTGTGCACTGTTGTATTTATCATCACACTAATAACACAAGCCCTTACGCCTTCGATTGTCCATGTCACTCTTTGAAATTTGTTTTGAGGGCTTAGAGGATGCCGAACTAGAGGTGCTGAAGGATTGGGTCTGTTTAAACTTATCTGCTAATGGGCTCATGGTGGATATGGGCTTAGTAACTGGGTCATTAGTGGAAATAGGTTTAGTAATCGGGTTAGGCCTGGAACTCGATAATAATAGAGAAGGCAAACGAGAAGACCCAGATGAGTAGAATGAAGAGAACCTAAAGGAAGGCTTGTGAATTAGCGGCATAGAAGATGGAGCGTGGTCATGAATCGCTTTAATGGCAGCAAGTTGTCGTCTGGCCATCTTTATTTGCACTGGCCAGTGTTGTTGGTTGGAGACTAAGGATGCCCTATTGCACGTCGTTGCTTAAACCTTTAATGAAGCAATTTATGGTTGCTGCCTCTGATAAGTCAACTTTAGTAAGCAACTCATCGAATTTCTCATCATATTCTTCGATAGAGTCTTGCATTTGCAGTTTCTTTATCGCAATCATGAGGTTTTCATCTTTTATATCCCCAAATTTGGTTTCCATTTTGTGGAAGTATTCTTCCCAAGATATCTCGTCTAAATGCCTCTATTTAGTGAAGGCTAAGTGCCAACGCAAGGCACGTTTCTCCAAATGGATGCTAAGAAGACGAATACGCTGGTCAACAGGCGTTCCATCCACGTCAAAAAATAAGCGATAGCGGTAAGCCTATCCTTGAAAATCAGTGCCATCAAATTTAGGGAATGCAACTCTGCTACTCTTGGTAGGAATAGAGTATGAGTTGGGTGGTGTGGGAAGGAGACCTTGGAAAGACCCGAACTGAGGTGGTGGTGTGAAAATGGGGGGAGTGGGTGCTGAGGCAGAAGGGGTCGCTAGTTGAGAGAAAGGGGGTGGTGGTGGGATTGCTATTAGGGGTGAAAGGACAGAGGTTGTAGGTCGAGGGAGAGCAACAGAGGGTGCTTGGGAAGGTGGCTGGGAGGGTTTACTGACTTGAAGTGGAGGGGAACACAATGGTTGATTGGCTAGCATAGTAAACTTATCAGAAATCTCCTTCATAAACTGAGATAAGGTAGTTTTAATCTCAGATATATTGTTAGTGTTTTGCTCTAGAACCTGTTAAGTACTTTGAAGTAATGAGGATTGCATTTCCAAGTGGTGTTCTAAGTCGCCAACGCGTTCAGTCGAGGACCGCATCTCCGGCGAAGACATGGCTGGATAGATGGCTCTGATACCTTGATAGAGGAAGAAGAAAAATATAGACGAAAAGAGAGGCTGATTTCATTCACACCCTCCATTGTACCCTATATACTCTATTTATATAGAATATACCCAAATACCCAGATTACCCTTTTATCCCTAATTTCCCTAATTATCCCTTTTTATTGCTAACTCTCATATTCCCACGTATCAATATTGGTAAAAAAAAATCTAAAGCAA